AAGTCTCTAAACGCTTCAACAGTAGTAACAATGGTTAAATCTATGCTCATCAGCACTGTCTGGGTGTATGTATCCGTCCACTTCTCGAAGATTGGAGATCTAACTACATTAGTATTACTCACTTGACCTTTGCAAGTGCATCCCACTGCGCCTATTGGTGTGGTCTTTCGTCCAACCCCGCGGATGTCCATCTACCTCTTACCCAAAGTTGTTGTGGACGCAATACTCAAGGACAGCTAAACGCCTTTGACGAGGTTAGCAATAAACTACAAAATGGGGCAACTCTTACTAAACTGCAGTAGTGTCTTGTGCTAAACCCACCGAATAACTTTGCGCATTGCTGCCAAGGAAGTGGTAAAGATATCTGCTATGACATTGATGCAGAGAATTCTGCCTGTGGACTTGCGGGTATTCCTGCTACTTGCCATAATCCTTAGTAGGGTGTGCTAGAAAGCAGCCATGAGTAGGACTCTGTCTTACGTTACCTGAGTGTGTTTTAGCACACAAATTCACTCGCTTTCTATAGCTATCTAGCTTCAAGTCACTCCTTTAATCAACAATAAACTATCGAGATTCTTCTATACTTGTTTATGTAACCGCTTGATCTAAAGATCGGATTCGCTCGTGCATGCGTAGATGCAGTAAACTGATATTTCCATCTGTTCTGCTATATATATTCTTTCTGTCTCTATCATGTGTAGCTATTTAGTCTTCTTGTCAAGATGATGTATCCTTGTCACTTTGACTCAGCTAAAGATATCGCTTCTGCAGTCTTGCATAGGCTGCAACACTTGGTTGTTCTATATCGTGATAGCATTAATCCTTATTCATCAGCTCAATATTCATAATATTGGCTTGTTTAAATTACATTGCGAGATAGATTAGAGTAGACGTTGAGCAAACAGTCGTGCTCACACGAGACGAATTACTAGCTGTCACAACTTGGCCTAGTATGGGGTAGCTAAGATAGAAATAGACCAGCATATAAGAGTAGAGGTAAATCCTAGTTGGCTCATGTAAGACCTAGCTAGACTATAGCATTAGTAGCTAGGTGTTAGAGCGCCGCGCGGTGCTCTTACACTAGAAATTTCCCGAGGCATTGACCAAGTAAAAGATGTCACCGCTTCAGATATTGTCTTCCACACCAACATCCTAGCTGTTAGAGGGTTTACTTTGCGGTATATCCCGCTCTAAAGGCCCGACTCATTACCACTAGGTCTTTTCGTTCCTATCTCAGGCCGCATGGGAATAATCCCTCAAGATTCCGAGAGAAACGATAGTTTTGGACTATTTAAATATAACCTTGTTAGAGGATTTTAGTAGCATAGGTGCGTTCCTTGAAAAATATAAAGGTTGTCACTCTACCTACTGAAATATTCATCCTCATCACCCACTTCTACTCTCATCACCCACTTCTACTCT